AAACCAATGCCAGCAACAACAATTTAGCAAATTTAGAAAAACAACAATTAGAAAAGGATCTGACCCCTGAAGTGCAGTTGCAGTGGTCAGTTCTCAGAGCCAGCAGAGGTGTCAGCCTCAGAAGGGGCAGCACTGCCCAGGCGGGTCAGTTCTGCAGTGTCCTTGTTTTTTTTCTCCTTCAGTCCTTCCAACTTTTATCCTATGACCTACTTCCCTATATTAATTCCTTCCTGTTAGAAAGAACTTAGCACTGGGCAAATGCTTGTCCCAGAGCCTAGCAAAGAGTGAGTGTTCAAGAAATTTCATCATATAGAAAAGACAAGATCCTGCCCTCTGTGAGCCCACAGTCTGGTTAGAGAGGGACAGAATACACTAAGAAACAGCCTGATGACCTTCCAAGACTTGTTCTTACTTGCCTTTAAGACTGAGTTGTGGCCTTTTTTTTTTTTTTTTTTTTAATGGTTGTCTATTCCTTCAGCAAACGTGTACTGTTGCTTGCTGTCTACCCTGCACACAGAGATGTTAGACATCCCCTGCCCTCCCAGGGCTCATAGTCCAGTGAAGGAGAGAAACCATAGTCATAGATCATGATGGCACAGGCTGACAGCATGAAACACAAGGGTGTGCATGGGACTTGGAGTATAAGAAGGGTGAGTGGCTAGTTCTGCCTAGGGTTAGAGGGTGCTTCCTAGAAGAAGTGATGTTTAATCTGGGTTGTAAAGGATGCCTGGATAAAAGAGCCTCCCAGGGAGGAGGCATACCATATGCAAACCTCCTTAGGTGTGAATGAGTAAGGCAGTTCTGTTGTGTGCTTATAACATTGGGTGGGGAGTTGGCCAGAGGTGAGGCTGGAGGCAGGCACAGAGGGCAGAGACGTGGGGCTTGGTTACCATGGCAATGAGCTGGGGCTTTGTCCTCTGAAGGATCTGCAGGGCCTTGAGGTTGTGCCTCATCCTGGTATCCTTATGACCTGTGCCAAGTGAAGTTCAGGAAATGTTTGTGGAACGAACAGGGTCAGGAGCGACACAGCTGAAGAAGAAGGCTGACGATAGTGGTTGGACAAAGTTCCTTCAAGAAGTGCCAGTCCC